GTTGATGCCCAAAACAACAGTTGGGTCAAGTAACACCACTGCAAATTCTGGGAAGACCCAGAGAATGGCCCCAACAACCAACCAGGGGGAGAAATCCTAAAAGACTGGATAATTACCTCAAGGAGATGTCTTTAACCTAGAAGATGACAAGCTCATATGTTTTGTGCCAGCAACATAAATGCAGGCTAAAGAGCAAGATGAAATTGGTAATGGAAAGTAAAGTGTGTGGTACGCAAATTCAAAATCAATACATAGCCAATTGAGTCAGTACATAGCCAATTGAGTCACCATGTGAAATGATTCATTTCAGGTGCCTTCAAAATTCACTAAATGTATATAATTTTATCTGCTTGTAAATGCCAATTTCCATCAATTTTTGGAGCTTCATATTTGGAAACAAATGCTGATCTTGATAATGACTTCTCCCTGTGGCTTTGAAGGAAGTGAGCTTTGTAAAATGTTTTTGATTCAGTTTGAATGCAGGACAATTGCAATTAGAATAGTAAAATAAATACATAACATGTAAGCATATTAATTGATGATGGGAACTGTAACTCTGGATGGCTAAAAATTTTGCACTAGCCTGAACAATGACTTCTCCCCCTTTTGGGTAAACTCGCTGGAAAGCCATGCCATCAAATAGGTGAGCATGGCATCAGATTTGGATTGGTATGCCCTGGCCACTGTGGCTCAGTTGGCTGTGCATTATGCTATGCACCAAAATGTTGCCAATTCAATTCCAGGTCAGCGCACATACCCAGATTGTGGATTTTATCCCTGATTAGGGCGTGTACGGGAGGCAACCGATCGATGTTTCTCTGTCACATCAATGCTTGTCTCTCTTCTTCCCCTTCCTTCCTCATTTTAAAAATGAATTGGACTGGTGTGTTTAATGGCATAGTCTGATCATTAGATACATCCCTCACTGAGACGGGGATGAAGCTTCCATTAGCCTGGATGCATCTTTTCCTCTAAGCAGTGCTTGAGTAGGCATTGCCAAAGTTTAACTCGATGACTTTTCTTTCTCTTTGTGCCATAATCTTTTCACTTTCTGCCATTGATTTCTGAGATTTTTCCACACAGATGAAGACCCACTGGTTAAGATTTATTATTTCTTTATATCAAGAGCTTCGTAAGTGCAAAATCCTGATGCTTTTTTAGTATAAGAACCACACTCGAGGACCCTTCAACCTTCATTTTAACAAGTCTTATTTGGAAGTTATTTGGAAGTTAACCAGTTGAAAATTCATTGCATAGCAGTGTCTGATGAATGAACATTTATCCTATCACAAATGTGTCCTTCTCCCAAGGTGAGTAATTCCAATTTTTTATGCCTTGGCTACTGAATCTGCAGTACTTGCTCTACTTGCTCTTGTAATCACAGACTATGCAGCATAAACATAGAGGCAAAGTCAAGAAAGTGGAGAATCAAGGCAATTGTTAGCAGTCCTTTCCTTCTCCCTGTTGTTTCTTTCCTCTTATTTATATTTCCCTGCCTGTCACACAAAACCCAGATGCTACTCCTTCCCACCTCATTATATATGCACAAAGTCCCACTGAGGAAGGAAAGCAAAACCTGGGGGGGGGGGTGCGGGGGGGGGCACAGACTGGGCAGATAAAAGAACTTTGACATGATTTTGCAGTGACAGCACTTCTCATACTTATCATCCAAACCTTCTCCTTGCTGCCTTGTCTGCTTCCTTTACTATCCTCTTACCCTAACTCATGGCTTCCATTCTCACCTCAGTTATTCTTCCTTTTCTTCTCCTTGCGGAGATGAAGGCAGGTGTGTGTGTGTGTGTGTGTGTGTGTGTGTGTGTGTGTGTGTAAATTAAATTGGATTGAAATACACTGGAATGAATGAAAGCCAGGGAGAGAGCCATTTCCCCACTATAGCAGAAACAGCCCCCGTATAAAGGAGATAGAATTGATAAGGACCTCAGATAGAGTCCCACAGCCCTATCCCTTTGACCTTCTTGCTCCCCTCCCCCAAACTGGGCTTTCCACTCTACATGACTTCTTCCCTTAAAAAAGGAAGTAGAAATGAGATGGCATCACTGTGTGCCTACACACACTGCTTCCACTTACTTCTACTTACCAAAGAGACAGGCTCAGCTCTGGGCCCAATGAGTGCCCACTAAAGCACCATATCATATCTCCTAACCCCAGGCCCTTCCTTTTGCTTGTTTGTTGAAATAGCAGATGGCATCTTGACTTAGGCCCTCCCAGGACAATGGAGATGAACAATGAGGATAAGATTCAGCAGGGATCCTTTAAATAAATCGCACTGGTTTCAGATAACTTTAATGGCATATCATTTCCATTGGAACAAGTAAATAATCAGACACGTATTAAGCAAAGGGAGCCAATCATGATGACCTTGACACTTGATAAAGATAGTCAATCTAGATAAAGTTGCTTTGAGGTTTGTTTTCTGCTGTGCCTACAGTTATCCCGAAAGTCTTCAAGTATTTTTTGTGGGCATGGACTCCTCCCTTCCAGGACATTTTACAGGTACATTAGGGCAGCATCTCAGTTCTCGGATAAAAATGCCAACTAAAAGCAGAAATGAGGGGAAAAATTTCTACTTTAGAATAATGACAGGTTGGCAGGTTGAATGGTGGGGTAACAGGAACAAGACGAATTATCTGCTTCAGTGACACCCATTCCACTGTCGTACTCACATTAACAGCATAGGCATGACTGAGATGGAGTTTCCATTAACACACCCATTCTGGTTCTTTCTGTTTCCTCCGTTCTCCAATACTGATCAGTTCCTTTTAAAAAATGTCCTCGGGCTGAAATTTTCCCTGCTTGACATCAATCCAAAGGTAAATTGCCTGCAAAGTTTGAGGCAAATTGTAATTGTGCTCATGTCTGCTTCACCAAGTGTACAAGCCTACTCTTCCAGTCAATTTTCATTTTGGGGGTCTTCTCTACAGCCTGCTTAGAGTCACTGACAATGATTTAATAACAGACTTTTGCCTGCTTCATTGAATAACCATGAGCTACTTTTGATTTTGCTAATTTAAAAAAGGAACAGTAAACAATCCTGGCATTATTATACCAAGTTAAGTCACGTAAATAATGTATAATAAGTATTAGCAAAACATTATTTGGAACTATATTTATATCATGATTGATAGATACATATAGATAGACAGAAAGAATCATGTTCATGTGTTTATACTGGTGTCTAGCTAGATCTATTTATCTCTTTATCAGTGATCAATCTAATTTTGACAAAGAGACCAGGATTTTGCTACTGAGCCTTTACATATTATTTTTTTTGCCCCTGTAGATTAACTGACTTACATTTTTCTTTGAAAGATTATGGGTTCTACATTTAGATGGCAGGAATTGCCTAGTCTTCCTGGTTGAGAATGTCCCAAGCCACATTACTTGGGCTATAACTAAGGTTGTCTTTAACCTGGCAGGCTTGTTACCTGAAAGATGTCTTATAAGGTCATCCCAACATCAAATCCATCTTGTCTCAGGGTGGCAGAATCTCAGAGGGCTTGGATGCCCGTGTGTGAAGCCAAACTGAGGATGATTGCAAGGCAGACCAGAATACGGGAGCTAGCAAACAAGTCAGGGTGCCCGCGTGTGTGTTGTGGAGTTTCACTGAGGCTCCCCAGTGGCCACAAGTGCTTCTTTGAATGGCTCCAGACCACGGCACTCTCCTCAGCCTCTCTAACCACACACGGGGTCACCTTGCCAGGATGGAAATGTTATCATTGCAGTTACTTCTTCATCTTCATTTCTTAAAGAATAAAAAGATCCTTTTGACTACATCTTGTAGGCAGAGAGTACTTTTCTTCCCTTTCAAGTCAACATGTAACGAAAATTTATAACAAAGAAATAAACGAGCCACTTAGCTTTCATCACTTGCCCCATTCTGGTCTCTTCATTCTATTTATTCTTCATTTTCTTGGATATAGAAAGAGAAGGAATGAAAGAAGTCTGGATTTTTTAAAAGATGTGTTTGTTTCCACCTAATTTGATGAATGTTATTATACAAAACATTAGAAATGTGTTAAGAGGAATTATTTGTTTACACCTTAAGCTGCATGAAAAGCAATATTGCTTCAGTCTTGTTAAATCAATTACTCTCCAGGCTTTCAGGAGTTGGCAAGCAACTCTGCATGCCCTCCAAAAGAGCTGAAGCTGCAGGATTATTATTTAAAACCTATATGATTCATACCTTCCAAAAAAACAAATGTAATCCCTTCTGAAATCCAGATTGGACTATTTCAATAGCAAACACATTCACTTATTATTTCTGGCACTCCCTTTCGTGTTAGGGACTCTTTTGGCCATTCAGTCAGGCCCAGCTTTCATAATGAAATCTATCCCTCAGATAAAGGAAAATAAACAGACTTGGTACCTTAGGCTAACGTGATTTTCTGAGTTTTGGAGGGCAGCAGATTGTTTATTTTTTTCAACCTGATAAGTTTCCAAGGCAAAATGATTTATCTCTGTCCAGTTCTTCTTGGGATATTCACTGGGCAAAAAGTGGATTAAGGAAGAAGTAGAGAACGGGCTCAAATATAAAGGGAAGGAACTCGAAGGGCAATACTGAAATGATGATGGCCCAACATGATTACTGTGCATCCTCTAAAGAGAGCAAAAATCAAATTAAATTGGAGAAAAAGAAAGTGAAAAGAGAAGGAAATTGCAATATTTTGGTCTAAGGGAGATTGCATTGTAGGGTTAATAGAATTTAGATGGCAACATCATTTTTAAAACTAGATTGGCTTATGCCTGTAATTCCTGAATGTACTGTTCTTAGGCAAGGTTTGTGTGTGTCTTTCTCTAACATGACACGAGAGAGAAAAAAATGTTCACAAATGATAATTGCCTCGTGCCAGCAGTCACATAATTTCCTTTCAAAAGAGAGCAGGGAAAAGAGCTGCTGCCAAGCCAGGCTTGCAGGCTGCGAGGCCCCAGAGCTCTCCTTTTTCTCAGGTCCCACCCACAGCCTGTCATTTCTCTCCAAGGCCTCAGTTGGGCGCACCTGGGAAAGCTCCCTCCCGAGCCTGACTTGGAGGAACTGCCCAGCTGGGATTCTCCTCTTCCAACACACACTCTCCATTCACCACGACCCTGTGGGTGGGGAAGCTCATCACGCTGGAGGAGGTGCCCTGACCCGTCACCGAGAGAAGACACACATAGACAGGTGAGCAACCCAGTAACAGTCCAAGATGAATGTGGATAAATGCCGAGTTAGTGCAGACTGGTTGTTCTCACTCTGGTATCACATCACAGTAGGCTGTCATGATCATTGGGGAGAAAGGAGTGGAGTTGGGGCTACCATTGCTACAACAGACCTGATCCCCTGACCTGCCTTATAGTAACAACGGCAGGCGGCGTCTGTATAGAGCTCAGAGTGCGCCAGGCCTCCCAGCAATCCCATGGTGGTAGGTGAAGAGAATGAAGAGTACCCAGCTCTTAGAGAGATCATCCACCTGAGGCCCTTCGTGTCTGGTGCAAACATGAGCTGTCATTTGCATCATCCTCCCCAACTGAGAGATGAGGAAACCAAAGTTGAGTGGTGGTAAGAGGTAGGGGTTGGTAGGGGCTGAATTCTCACTGTGATCTGACTCTAAAGGCCATTCTCTTCACTTGTATGTCTCACTACTCTGTGTCGAGTGGGCAGGTGTGTCGAGCCCGGCGGTCTCTATCAGTAGTTTTGAAGCAGAACTGCATTCAGTGCCTCAGGGGAGACCTGCAGGACGAAGTTTTAAGAGCAGTCTCCATGGAGGAAAAGAGGTGTGGGAACATGGTTTGGGTTGAGGAGGCAGAGAGGAAGGCGGTTTAGATGGTAGAGAGGGACTGGGAGGTGGTGGATGGGACAGTTCAACTGGGTCTGATGGTTAACTGGAAAGTAGGACATTAGGAAGTTAAGCTCATGTCCCAGTCTTGCTCTTCACATGCTGCCAGGCACATGCTGCAAATTCTTCTCCTCAGACATCCAGTTCCCACTGAGGTCTTCTTTTCATCCTTTCATAAGGCTGTTGCATGTTTATTCAGTCACAGAGCCCCAGTGCATCATGGGACCTTGACCCGGTGCAGCCCGCTGGAGCAATGTCCTCTCCAGGACAAATATTTCCAGGATCCGGGAACTCACTACCTTGCAAGGGAGCCCAGTTCGTTGATGGACAACTTTCACTTGTAGAAAGCACTTCTTTATGTAATCTCTGCTTCTTGAGCCCCTCAGGTATTTATAGGTGGCTATCCTATGCTGAGTTTCTTCTCCAAGCCAAAGGACCCCACTTGCCTCCATTTAAAACCTGTCCCCATAACTTCGCTTTGATGCAACTACCCCTAGTCTGTAACTCCCTGGAAATAATAGCATGGCTTTGGGAGCAAGGAGTGAGTTTACATTAACAGCTCTCTGCATACACAGAGCAGTTAAAAATGGACAGAAAAGCATTGAGAGGAAATGGAAAGTATATCACCCACACACATGCATGAAAAGTGAAACTAAAGTCAAAGCAAGCATTACCTGTCACATGAGGTGTTCCAGAAGTCTTAGTGCAAAATAACTTCACAAGTATATTTGCTAAGGTCTTACAAAACACACCATTGGAAAGTTAAATTAATTAAATGCCCATTTTTCTTATTATGATTTATAAATGTTTAATAATTTTTTTATTGTAATATTTGTTTCAGGCAACATTGGCCATCTTTGGAGGGGAGGGATGCTGACGAGGGATAGGGGACCCCTTAGAGATGTGTGACTCCCTCGCACATACAAGGACTTTTCTTTTTCTTTCTTTTTTTTTTCTTTTTCTTTTTCTTTTTTTTTTTATGAAGAAGGCTGCATTTACTAGGTGTACCAGTTAATAATGAGGATTTTGTAATCAAAGAAAAGACGATAATTTCAAGAGAAACATCAAAAGTGCTTTATTCAAAGTAATGTCCATCGCTAGCTACACATTTCCCCCATCTGTCAGGTAATTTGTGGATACCGTCCCAAGAGAACTTTTATTATTTTGAGGCAAACCATTCAGAGACCCAATTTTCCACTTCTTCGTATGTTTTGAAGTGCTGCTCAGAAAGTGCGTGTGCCATTGATCGGAACAAGTGGTAATCTGAAGGAGCAAGGTCTGGTGAATACAGCGGGTGGGTTAATACTTCCCAGGCAAGATCTTTTAATGTGTCTCTAACTGGTTTTGAAGTGTCTGATGGTGCGTTATCATGAGGCAAAATTACTTTGCCGTGTCTTCTGGCACATTCTGGTTGTTTCATGATCAAAGCATGGTTCAAATTGACCTGGATGTTCTTTGTCTTTCACATCGAAATCATCACTTTTAAAGCATTTAAACCAGCGTTCACAAGTATCTTGAGATGGAGCATGTTCACCATAAGCTTCCCGAAGTATGCAATAACTTTCAGCAGCACTTTTCTTCAAAATAAAGTAATGAATTAAAACTACTCGCAAATGCTCTTTTTTGGCACGAAATTCGACATTTTTAAGCATAAAAATATCTATGATGTTAACACCTTCAGCAAATTTGACATATGAAGTTTTGAAGCTTGCTGTCAATACAACAAAATAGCATACATATCAAATCGCATATATATCAACATATGTATAACTCCAAGTATTGAAAAAAATCCGCATTATTAACCGGTACACCTAGTAAAGTATATTTGTATTGATTTTTAAGACAGGAGAGGGAGAGAGAGATAGAAACATCAATGATGAGAGAGAATCATTGATTGGCTGCCTCCTGCATGCCCCCTACTGGAGATCGAGCCCACAACCCAGGCATGTGCCCTTGACAGTAATCGAATCAGCGACCCTTCTGTCTACAGTTTGACGCTCTATACACTGAGCCAAACTGGCTAGGGCTAAAAGGAATTTTCCAGTGCCAGTTTGTGATTGGGAGCCAGGAGGTCAAGTTGCAGACACGCAAACTATGTTTGAGTTCTTTCCTTTTTACCTGCTTCCATCCTCAAAGTTACCTTGTGCTCCAAGATGGCTGCTGGAGTGCCTGCTATTAAAGCTCGGCTCCATTCAAGCATTGGGAAGAAGCAGAAATCAGACACATTTCTCCTTTCCTTAAAGGAGGCTTCCCAGAATTCCTACACAACACTTTCACTTATATCCATTGGTTAAAACCAAGTCACAGCTAGAACCTGTCAACAGTGCAGCCCGCTTAAAAAGTAATAGATTCCATTATCAAGAATGGAGATTGAAAGACAACTAGAGTTTCTCTTCTCCTCAACCAGTGTTACATGAGAGCACTGGCTCTCCCACATCATCACCCCTTTTTCTACCTTTGCCAGTTGACGTACTTTAAGTGGTATCATGTTGTTTTTATTTACATTGCTGAAAAGGATGACCATGTATCCATATTTATTAACTAACTAGAGGCCCAGTGCACGAAATTCATGCACAGGTAGGGTCCCTAGCAGCTGCCGGCTGCCAGCTGCTGGCCAGGGCCTTCCTTTGTTCCATGCTTCCCCCTGGTGGTCAGCGCACATCATAGTGAGCAATCTAACTCCTGGTCGGTTGAACTCCTGAGGGGACACTTTGCATATGAGGCTTTTATATATATAGATGTATTTGTAGTCTTCTCTGATAAATTGCTACTTATATCAATAGTCTATTTTTAATTATTTTTCATCTCTTTCTTATTGATTATTGAATCATTTATGTATTAGAAATATAAACCAGCCAATACAGTGTGGCACAGTGTATCTTTTTCATTTGAATATGTTTTTTGTTAAATACTTATTGTATGATGTACATTTTAATTGGCATTATATATCTATATCTATATCTATATCTAATTCTGTTTCTTACTCGCTTCACTCAGGACTACAATTTTAAGGTCCTTCCCTGATGTTCCATGTGTATTTGGTCCATTGTTTCTAATTTCTGCTCCATCCTCTTGGTGTGTGTCTAATGTTTCACCAGTCCACTCTGCTAGCAATGGACACTCTCCCAGCAATGGACAATGGGAATTGGGATTGTTCCCATTACAAACAACACTGCATCCACTTATGGATCGGTGTGAGATGGATTTCATTGCTTTATAATGAAGAGCTTCTGTTCAACAAAGACTGACATAGATAAAGTTAACAGATGACAAAGAGGAAAATGATATTTGTGGTGCCTAAACTAACAAGGGATTAATATCTAGAATACACAGGAACCTTCTCAAATCAAGAAGACAAATACAGAAAACCAATAGAAATTGGGCAAAGAATATAAACTGGCATTTTATAAGCATTTTATGAAAATGGAAACCCAAAAAACTAACAAGTATTTGAATAGATGTTCAAATTCATTAGTAAGCCAACAAATGTATGCCTTATGAGAATGACAAAAAAAAAACAAAAAAAAAAAAAACAGAAACCAGATAATGTCAGGTATTGGTGTGGATTTGCAAACATGGAACCCTTCATGCCAGCAGGAGAGTAAACTGTGGTCAAATTAAGTGCACACACACTCCTGACCCCAAAATTCTACTCTTCTACCAGCACTTTTATAGTTTGGGTTATGTTTATTTTTAGCACATAAATATTTAATCCATCTGGATTTATTTTGTTGTAGTGGGTAAGTACTGAGCAATATTTATTTTCCGCAAATGTTTGGCCAGTTGACAAAACACTTTTGAATAATACCACCTTTCCCTCACTGTCACTCTATCATTTACTAATTTCTTATAGATTCCTGGGTCTATTTCGAAGTGTTAGGTTTCTAAAGAGTGGATTTTGGGGCTGCCAAGCAGTGACCCATTTGGAGAATATTTAATCATTCCTGTGTTTTGTGCTTTGATGTCAAGAGCCATGAACTAACTACAGATACAAAGAAAAAACAGTCACTAAAACCAACGGCTGTTTTTCCTGGTACTTATAAACTCCTGTTGTATGGAGCTTTGTTTTCTGGCTGATATTCTTAAATGAGCCCTTTCTCACATTCCCCCCTCCTTCCTGGTCTCCAACCTTCTGGTAGCATCTTTTGCTTCTATTTCTTTGACAGATGTTAAATTTTTATCCTCTCTCTCTTCTCTCTTCCCTCTCTCTCTTACTACCCTCCATCCCCAAACTTAATCCTATTTCAAAAAGAAAGTTTAAAGTCTTGAACATAGTTTGGAAATCAGAAAACCTCTCTGGAGATTAGCAATTTAGCAATTTGGAGATTTCACTCAGCCCAAATAC